TTGCTGAACTGACTCATTAATCATTATGTAATGATTTATTTGTCTTTTATAGGTTTGGCCTGAAATGTATGTAGTCTGATATGATTATAGCGACTCCTGCCCTTCTTTGTATTCCATTGGCATGGAATATGACTCTTTCTTCCTCTATTTTCAGTCTATGTCTTTAGAGGTGAAGTGTGTTTCTTGTAGGCAATAGATAATTAGGTCTTGTTTTTTGTTGTTTGTTTTGTTTTTATACAATCACTCTTCTATGTCCTTTGGACATTTTAGTCCATTTACATTCAATGTTATTGATAAGTAAGGACTTACTCCTGCCATTTTGTTGTTTTCTGGTGGTTTTGTGGTCTCTTCCTTCTTTTATTCCTGTCTTCCTTATAGTAAAGGTGATTGTCACTGGTGATATGATTTAGCTTCTCACTTTGTATTTTTGTGTATTCATCGCATGTTTTTTGGTTTGAGGTTACCATGCAGCATGAAAATATTATCTTATAATCCATTATTTTAAACTGATAGCAACTTAACACTGTTTTCATAAACCAAGAAGCAAAAAGAAAACTAATAGACTAACTTTGTCCTCCCACTTTTTAACTGTTATTTTATTGTCTATGTCTTGAAAGTTGTTGTAGTTATTTTTGATTAGTTCATCATTTAATCTTTCTACATCAGATAAGAATAGTTTACACAGCACAGTTATACTGTTATAGTCTGTGGCTTTTCTGTGTGCTTACTAACACCAATGAGTTTTGTATCATTAGATGACTTCTTTGTTTTTGAGACAGTCTTGCTCTGTCACCAGACTGGAGTGCAGTGGCATGATTTCTGCTCACTGCAACCTCCACCTCCCGGGTTCAAGCAATTCTCCTGCCACAGCCTCCCGAGTTGGGATTACAGGTGCACACCACCACGCCCAGCTAATTTTTGTATTTTTAGTAGAGACAGCGTTTCACCACGTTGGCCAAGATGGTCTCGATCTCTTGACCTTGTGATCCACCTGCCTCAGCCTCCCAAAGTTCTGGGATTACAGGCATAAGCCAGATGATTTCTTATTGCTTATTAACATTCCTTTCTTTCAGATTGAATAACTCTTTAGTATTTCTTCTAGGACAGGTCTGGTATTGATGAAACCCCTCAGCTTTTGTCTGAGAAAGTCTTTATTTCTCCTTCATGTTTGGAGGGTATTTTTGCCAGATATAAGCTGTTTTCCTTCAGCTTTAAATATGTCATGCTACTTTTTCCTGGCCTGTATGATTTCCACTGAAAATTTTGCTGCCAGACACAGTGAAGTTCCATTTTATGTTATTTGTTTCTTTTATCTTGCTGCTTTTAGAACCCCTTTCTTTATCCATGACCTCTGGGAGTTTGATTATTAAATGCCTTGAGTTAATCTTCTTGGGTTAAATCAGCTTGGCGTTCTATAACCCCCTTGTACTTGGATATTGATATGTTTTTCTAGGTTTAGGAAGTAATCTGTTATCCCTTCCAATAAACTTTCTACCTTGTTTCTCTCTCAACCTCCTCTTTAAATCCAGTAACTGTTAGATTTGCACTGTTGAAGCTATTTTCTAGATCTTGTAGGTGTGCTTCATTCTTTTTTTTTTCTTTTGCCTGCTCTGACTGCATTTCTAAATATCCTGTCTTCAAGCTCACTAATTTATTCTGCTTGATCAATTCTGCTATTAAGCGACTCTGACACATTCTTTAGTTTGTCAATTACATTTTAAAACTTTAGAATTTCTGCTTGATTTTTAAAAGTGTCAATCTGTTAAATTTATCTGATATAGAATTCTGAATTCCTTCTTTGTGTTATCCTGGATGTCTGAGTTTCCTCAACAGTTATTTCAAATTCTCCATCTAAATGGTCACATATCTCTGTTTATCCAGGATGTGTTATTGTGCCTTATTTGCTTCATTTCGTGAGGTCATGTTTTTCTGGATGGTTTTGATGTTGATAGCAGCTGTTCTTTTGTGTCTTGGCATTGAAGAGTTAAGTATTTACTGTAGTCTCCACTGTCTTGGCTTATTTGTAGTTATCTAGTATGGCTGGGCTCTGTGTTCTCACTCAAATCTCATCTCAAATTGTAATACCCACATCCAAGGGAGGGACCTAACTGTAGGTGACTGGATCCTGGGCAATGTTCCCCCATGCTGTTCATATGGTAGTGAGGGAATTGTCACAAGGTCTAATGGGAACATTGGGACTTCCTAGAGACTTGTAAAATTGTTTTGACCAAAATGCTAATAGTGATATGGACAAAAAAGTTCATGCTGAGGTGGTCTCAGATGGAGATGAGAACCTTATTGGGAACTGGAGCAAAGGTCACTCTTCCTACGCTTTACCCAAGAGACTTACGGCATTTTGCCCCTGCCCTAGAGATCTGTGGAACATTGAACTTGAGAGATGATTTACAGTATCTGTCAGAAGATATTTTAAACCAGAAAATGCAGTTCTTCCTACTCTTCCTCCCCTTTTCACAGGCAGAGGAGCCTCATTTCATGACCACCACCACCACTGGCGGCCCATAGGAGAACTGCTAGGCTACTTACATTGTTCACTTAAGGCTTAAGGGATCTTCAGTTTGTTTGTGGTGAAGTCTGCCAAGCCTGAGACTCACCCTTCAGGGCAGTGAGCTCCCCTATGGCCCAGGGCATGTGGAGAAATGCTGTCCAAGGTCCATTATCTAAAATCATAGACCCACTTGGTGATCTATCCTACTGTGGTTGATCTGGTACTTAAGGTGCTAGACAAAGTTGCCTTTACTTCGGCTTTTCTCAAATAGAAGCATCTCACTGAAGCCACCACAGATAGTAATATTCCATGTCTCACCTGAAATCACATCTCCAAGTCTCACCCAAGTTCCATGTTGTACTATCCGGGTATCACTGCTGGTTATTTAGAGCTCAAGGACTCTTTAGTCAACAGGTGATGGGTTCTTCCAGGACTGGGTCCTTCCCTTAAGGCAGCGGGTTCCCTTCTGGCCCAGGGTGTGTGTAGAAATGTTATCTGAGAGCTAAGGCCTGGAATGGGGGCCTCATAATTCTGACCAGGGCCCTATCTTATTGTGGTTGAGCTGGTATCAAAGATGCAGGAAAAAAGTCCTCTTTACTTATTCCTTTCCTCTTAAGTGGAAGAAACAGGTCCCTTTTTAAGCTGTGAATTGTGCTGCCTGTGTTTGTGGAGTTGTGGTACAAGCACTCCTTTAGCTGCCCTGGCTGGTGTCTCAGTGAGTCATGTTCCCCCATTCTTCCCCCAAGTCTACTGGCTCATAGCCCATCTCAAGCACGATGACTCACCTAGAAGCTGCAGTCCTTGTGGTCCATGTCACACAGACGCTGTGATGGGAAAAGGGAGGGGGTGGCATTGGTAATTCAAGACGGTATTTCCTACCCTCTTCAGTGCCTCTTTCAGTGACATGAAGTTAAAACCAGGTATTGTGAGTGTTCACCTGATTTTTGGTTCTTATGAAGGTGCTTTTGCATGTGTGTAGATAGTTAAATTTGGTGTTCCTGTTGGGGGGAACACTGGTGGGGCCTTCTATTCCACGATCTTGCTCTACCCCTATTTTACATTTTCATTACTTGAGGCTTCATAAGAAAGCAAACTACAGTATCAACACAGCACACAGAAACACCTATGTCTGCATAAGAAACTTCAAAAAGTCTGAAATGTGGAGGATCAATAGGCATCTTCCAAGCAATAGAAGAGAGGGAATTGAAGGCAGAAGGAAGAGCATGTTGCAAAGCCATGAAACTGCATGGTGAGAAAAGATAATAGTATGACTGGAGCATTAAATGAATTTGAAAGAGAAAAGCAGAAAGTAAAGTGGGGCTAGTAGATGGGGGGAGCTTTGTACAAAAGTTTGAGAATTTTAGAGTTCCTATTTAAATAGAGGCCAGAGATCAAAGACTCAAGAGTTTGTTTTCCTGCAAACTACTTGCAAATTAGCAGAAAGGAGGGCAGATTAGAGTCAGATCAGTCTGAAAGTAGAGAGATCTATTATAAAACCTTTGCAGTATTTTGGGGAAAAGAAGATAAGATTTTGAATTAGTGCAGTAGCAGCTGAGATGGAGAGGTGAAACTGAAAAACATATTTTGATGGTAAAATCAATATGAATTGGCAGTTTATTATTGAAGTTTAAGAAAAAGTTTACATGGTAGGTAATACAGTAAAATATGTAAATTTGGTAGAATTTAGATGAATTTCTATGTAATTTATATATGCATATATTTTAGCATAGAACAAAAATTTATATTCAGAGTGTCAAAAGACTATCATCAATATACTTTATACACACCACCTCTTCATAACCAACTCTCTTGAAATCTATCCTGTTAACTGAATCTTTAAGTTGGGCATTAAGACTGAAGCCTTACCAGAAAACAAAAGACGAGACTCCTAAAGATTAAGAAATTTGCCTAAGTGGATATATGTAATAAATCATGTTGTCAGGATTCAACCTGAGCTCTATGGCTCCATATTTTTTCCACTATATTTAAAATATCCCACCAATATCATAAAACAGAAATGAACTGATACATTTAATTAAAAGGTTCTTAATGTGCTTGATATTCTTCAGATTAACTTCAATTTCTAATTTACTGACTCTCTTCAATATCAAAGCAGTAATAGCTAATTGTCTATGCCTGGTTATAATCTTATCAAAGCAACATTTCATCATCTCATTTCTGTTTTTCCTATATAATTTGTGAGAACACTGGAAGCTGTTAAGGTGTGACAAATTGAAAGCCCAGTAAAGATTAAATCCCTGAGTACATGATTTGAAAAAAATTTAATGAAATACTTTGCCCAGTTGCCTAGGACTACTGTTAAGCAACTGTTAACCAACACCTTTTCCAAATATAGATTTCCAAAAACATAAGTGGCTAGCCAGTATATTTTAAAAACTGACACGATCTCTCAGAGAAATTCAGATCCCAGAGTTGATGTGGGTAGGAACTGGGGAAGCAAAACTAAGTAAATTAAAGGCACAATGTTACTTACTTTATCCTTGGAGAAACTGAAAAGTTGTTTTCTTTCCACAAAGAATTGGACGGCTATTACACTGGCTGAGTGGCCCCAAAGGACACCCACTGGTTTAGAGACAACATAGGGATTCCAAAGGCAAACTTTATTGTTAATGCCAGCAGTTGCTAATCAGAATTAGAAAAAAAAATGTTTTTAATGGCATGAATATCCCACAGCATTTTCTTTGTGAAGTGAGTTTACCACATAACTTGCAGGTTGACTAATGCACATCTAACTAGACCAGACTAATGGGGCATGAGTTCTGTCAATAGAAATAGTTGAAATGGAGAGAGTAGGGGAAAAAAATTATAAAGGGGAAAAGGCTATGTATGAGGTGAGAGAAAAAATATAGTCCCATTAAAAAACGACAGTCCAACCAGGAGGAGACAGAATCTTTCTTCCTAGTCCTGATATTTCTCTCTCCAGCCAGCTTAGCCTAGAAATGTAGGCAGTTAGTTATCCCAGGAGTAAGAACAAAAACAATGTTGAAAGTTCACATATTAATTAAAAGGTATAAAGAAACGATTTTCATTGCCATGTAAATAATCAAGTACAGTCATGCATTTCATAACATTTCAGTCAACAACATACAGCACATACAATTGTGGTCCCATGAGACTATAATATGGTATTTTTATTGTACCTTTTATATGTTTACATACATAAATGCCATTGTGTTACAGTTGCCTACAGTAGTCAGTAAGTCACATGCTATAGAGGTTTGTAGCCTCAGAGCCATAGGCTATAACATATGGCTTAGGTGTGTAGTAGGCTACACCATCTCTTTGTGTAAGAACACTCTATGATGTTCACACAATGGAAAATCACCTAATGATGCCTTACTATCCCCATCATTAAGCAAAGCATAACTGTGTGTGCAAGAAAACAAGCAACACAAATACTTTTGACCTGCTTTATTAATAGAATAAGATATTTTTGAACATCAGTTATATTTATGGAGCTCTTCAAGAGCAGGAAATACTGTATCTATTCAATAAAGACAATACTTTTTGTTGCTTCCTAGTTTAAGGCCAATTGTGGAGTTGAATTTATTCATCCTTATTTTTTCCAGCATTATAGCAGATACAAAGTATTATACAGAGATTGAAATAATTAACCAATCAATAAATTAAACATTTGCTATTTGAGTCCTTGCCAAACTGAGTCACCAAATCCTCTAGCCTTTTCTAATAAATCCACAGTACTCCTTGAAGATTTGAGGTTGGCATATTCATGAATTCATATTCAAGGTATCTGTTGCTGTGATTGTCATGCATTATTTTTGGGAATTTTATAAACACAGCTCCTTAGCTAATATTAATAATCTTTATATGAATGAGAACTATTGAATGTGATTTAAAAAGACCCATTCTGTAGACCATGTGTGTGCTCTAATTTTTCAATAATACATCTGTACCTCATTTCTGTTTGAACTATCATATATATATATATATATATATCAAATTATCAGCTTTCAGAATGTCTAAATTTTTAATTTAAAATGTTAGTGCCTGAGAAATTTTATTTCCTCAGCTAAAATGTTGTTTTTTACATCAAAAGAACTCTCCTCTAGTAAACTTACGATAATGTGAAATTTTTCAAAAATCATTAGAGATTGTATTCTGAAAGGTAATAGAAAAACATTCTACATTTTGCAGTTCTCTTGTGTATGGGGGGGTGTGTGTGTGCGCGCACATGCACTGTTAGTGGTAGCTGTAGCAGGAGCATTCGGTAGTGTTAGGAAGATAGCAGAATGGCAGACGCTGCACAGTCTTCCTTCCCTATATCATTTTACACCCTTCACCAATTGTAATAAAAAGACTCATTAAAGCATTGGGCACTTTCTCATATTTTTACCCCAACGTAGTTCATATACACTGCACATCATAATGCATCATTATCGGACATTTTTCAGGCAGTAAAATGTGTGCTGCTCAAGACGGTCCCTAGCAATAAAGCAACAAGGTGGAGAAGGCTCCATGCATAAAAATATGCATCCCAGACTATTTATGGGACCCTCAGTTATGATTTATTTTACATACCAATTAAATTGAGCCGAGAGTGGTAATCAAAAGCATGAATGCCCTGTGCAATGTGGAAGGATGTCATATTAAGATGCTTTTTTGGTTTCTCTCTCCAAGCCAGCACCACAGTATTAGTATTGCTGGTTGTACTGGAAATGATAGCATCTAAAGATGCTTTGTAAGTAACTGATAAAAAAAAAAAAAAAGAAAAAAAATCTTTAGTTGATTCTTCACAAGATGTTAGTAAAACGGGGCTGTTTTAATAAAGCTAAAAATTAAACTCAGATTATGATGCAAACTGACACTTAAAAAACACCACCCAAACCCCTTCTCCCACCTCCCACAAAAGAATTCCATTGAGAAGTTACAGGAAATTCTACATTTTTATATTCCCCCACTCTAGGAATACCTTGAAATTTTTTTCATTGGAACAAATGGCACAAAACAATCACAAAAATCATATGGGATTCTAAAGATGTAAGAGGAGTAATTGGCCAAATTCCTATCTTCCTCCCCCTGGGTCTGAGGCAAGCAAACAGGAGCTTATCAACCATCTGCCTTCCCCAAAGGTCCAGCTCATGCCTAAACAATGGTTAATTTAAATTTTGACTGATCCAAAATGTTGGAGAGTGAAATGGCCAGGATTCAACTCCTTGCCAAGATTCGCAAACACAGCCTCAGGCTCAGATCAAAGCGGCTCTTCCTGCATTCCTGATGAACAGTGCCAGATGCTGTGAAGCAAATTCACACTTTCCAAGCAAGGATAAAGATCCTACTACCTTTTGTCAAGAGGACCTTTCCATTACTCTCAGACCCACAGGCTCCAAAAGACCAGTCAATAGCCATAGCTGCTCTTTGATTGACTTGAAACCACCATGCCCTCTGTGGTTAGGCAGAAGTTCTCTTTGGCATTGTACACAATTATTTGTGTCCCACAGTTGGAGGATTTCTGATTTGACCTCAAGATCCAGATCCAATTCCTGTCCCACACAAAGAGAGATGTTGTTGCTTCATAAAGCTTAAGGGGGGAAGTTCCTTTAGTAGAATGGCTCAAATATTTCTGATGAATTTACTATGTAAAATCAGGGGTAACACAGTCTGGGAGTCAATTCTCAATGGATTGCTAGCATTTCTGCACTTCTTGTGAAGCTAAGCACTCACTGCCCTTTGTTCTGGATTATCTGTTCAAATAATTTTGCTTGCATAGTGTAAACAGCCATAGAATGTAGAGATAGTGTCTCCCTTTGCCCAATATAAAAAGATAATGTCTTCCTCTGTAGAAAAAGTTAGGCATGCCTCCTGTCCACCAGAAAAGATTCAGATTCCTTAGGTTTGAGGTTCCTTTTCTGAGGTGGAATACAGTGCATGTGCAGGGATTTATCTGGACCCATCTGCATCACCTCTGTGGACTTGATGGCTAGGGACTGAAATAAATGTAATGATATTTATGCTGCTTGCTTTCCTGAGAATAAGTCTTTTTTTTTTTTCTCTCTCTGACATGGAATAAGTCTTTTTTTCTCTCTCTCTCTCTGACATGGAAGTCTTATGTTCTCTATCATTGCAAGACTTTTTAAATTTCTCTCTCCAAGTAAGCATCACAATATTTGTATTGCTCATTATGCTGGAAATGGCAGGCTAACTTGTTAATAGCTAACTTGAAAATAAAAGTTTAGACCCTTCACAGTTCCTAACCAGCACTGCTATGGTCTAAATGTTTGTCTGGCCTCTTTACCCCCACAACCATCCAATTCATATGTTTTAATCTTAACCCACAAGGTGTTGATACAAGGAGACAGAAACTTTGAAAGGTAATTAGGTCAGGAGAGTAGAACCTTCAAGAATGGGATGAATGCCCTTATAAAGGAGATCCAAGGAAGCTTGTTTGCCCCTTCCACTATGTGAGGGAATAGCTGGAAGGCACCATCTAGAAAGTAGAAAGTAGGTCCCCACCAGACAGCAAATTTGATAGTGCCTTAATCTTTAACTTCCCAGCTTCCAGAACTGTGAGAATACATTTCTGCTTCATAAAAAGAGCATCCCTAATGTAACTAATTTGTTTTGTGTGTGTATGTGTGCATATACATATGGAGTATACATACATATTTATGTAATGTGTATGTATATGTACACATGCACACATAGGTATTTATGCATTTCCAAACAATTATTAAAAGCAAGAAAGTTCTGAGAAACAGAAAAATAGCTCAATGTATTCGTTTTTTTTCTGACCTATTCAACTGGGTTGTTTCTAAAGGTAACTAGGATTTCTTCATTCAGGAGCTCATATTGATATGTAAATAGCTTGATTTAGAAAATTTCCTAGCTATCTCCATAGGAAATAAATGGCTTAACACAACCAATTTATAACTAAATTAATGACATTGAGACTATTCAGTGTGTCATTTACAGGTATTGTCTCTCAAAACACGGCATTCAATCCTCAAAGATTTATTGGGCATCTACTACGTGTTCTGTGCTATGATAAAGATAAAAATAGGCACAGCCTGAACTTCAATTATATGGCCCCAAACTTGGGAGACAAAAACATGTAAACCAAACAATTAGAGAATATTTTAGCACATCATAAAGTGATAAATTGAATAATACAAAATGTATAGTAGAATTTCAAAGAAGAAAGTGTGACTTTCAGGGTTTAAGAGACACTTGGTGAACATTGGAAAAAGCGTTTTAATGCATGAGAGGCCATGACAAATCACCTGTGTGGGAAAGAAAAGGTAAACTCCAGAACTGAGAGCTGAAAATGAGCTCATCTACATCTGTATCTCACAGGTGAAGAAATAGAAACTCGCCACACAGTTTCGGTGATTTTGCCAAAGCCAGCAAGTAATTATCCAACTTAAGTCTGAAAAACTGAGATTAACTCTGAGTTTGGTGTCATTTAATGTTATATGACAGGCAATATTATAAATTGAAGCTTAGAACACTAGCGTTTGGCAGAGCCAGAGTTCGAATTCAGAATGCAGGGCCTGATCTCTTGACTACTGGAACATGGCTTCTCAACTTTTAACATGCACACAAATCACCATGTGAAATGCAGATTCTCATTCAATGTAAACCTGAGACTCTGCATTTCTCGCATTCCCAGGTGCTGCTACTGCTCTCTGAGAATTAAAGTAGCAAAGCACTAGAATGCAAGTCTTGCCATCATTTTATGCTCTAGAGGGTATATTAATCCACAGTTCACAAAATTAGGAGGTCAAATTTTCCCTGTGGGAATCTGATGAAAACTATAGAGCCTCTCCATCAGAAAGATATGCATGCACATGAAAATTTTTTTTATAAAATATCAAGATCTTGAGAACCTCCCCACTATACTCATAAAGCTCAACCATAATAGACCTGAGGAACTTAAGTGATAAACCTCCAGCCACAGGTAATTTTGGAGTAAGAAATTATTCTTCACCAGCTTCCTCAAGTGGTTCTTAAAATTTCTGTTGCTAATGATGTACATCCTTTGTATTAGTCAATACCAGTTTTAGGCTCCTCTTTTAAGCTTCTACTTCTTTAATGTAAATGAGTTTGACCTTTGATACTGGCATACTGCTAATAGCAGAACTTAATTTCTAAGATTTAAAAAAAGGAGAGAATGGGTTACAAAGGAGATGTTCAGAAATGGGACCAGAGCAGAGCTGGCTCTCAGAATAATTAATTCACTGGGAAGTGTGTCATGGAACACAAAAGTGCTGCCGAAGGCCAAAATGGTCTGTTTCTTCACTCCGCCTAGAATTTACCTGGATGGTGTTATAAGGGCAGAGAGGGCAACAGTGACCCCTTCTCTCATAAGGGCCATGGCCAGTATCCCTATAGCCAAATTCAGGTTGACAAGAGAAAAGCACAAGAAGTTCATTTGATCCTAGATCTGCATGACAGGAATATTCAGAATGAAGACACACAGATACACAAAACACTGTCCATTTTTATACTTAGGCTCTATGACGCAGGGAAAACCATGTAGAAATGTGATTGAAAAAACGGAGTGTGAGCTGATGGAAATAGTGGGGAAACCCAGCAAGGCTTATCTGCTCAGATTCTTCTTGGCTTCTCTGTGTGGCATTCCTTTCTCCTGGGTAGGACCACTTTAGAATGAGGGATGTCATTCCCTTATGGTCAGGTGTTACACAAAAAGGTAGGGGAGTGTTAGAATAACGTTTTTAGACTTTACAGCTACCTTTGGGGAAAAGGAGTTTTAGTTTCTATGACCTGACTCGGGAAAGAATGGGCAGGAGGTCAGAGAGAGACTTTGCTTCTGAGGTTTTCATTTTTGGGTATCATTTTCTGGGCCCCAACAGTGTTTCTTGCTTATCCCCCCATATGAACTTCTCTTTGACCTATGACTACTTTTAATAATTATTAGGATTATTTATTGACTCCCATGTTCAAGCACCACTCTGGGTGTTCTCACCCCAATAATCTTAAGAGGGTAAATTATTCCAAGTTTCCTAATGAGAAGATAGCGGTCGGAAAGCCAACTTGCTAAAGGGCATGAAGCTAATTGGGGATGGAGATGAAATTAATCCCAGTCCTGTTTGGCCATCAACTCTTCTACCCTGTACTACTGCCTGTCTTTTCTACTAAGCCTCACTGCAATGTGTACCACAGGTCCAGATGTGGGGTTCTTCCTATTACCAACTACCTTTCTGCCCCTATACCCTGAATCCCAGACCAAGCCCCTCATTTATCTTGAGTCTTGCCTTTCCTGATCACTTTTCTATTACCTCTTATTAATAGAACAGCATTTCTATGTCCTCCCTGCTCTCTCTCTCATCCTTTTCTCTTTTCTTCTTGAAGGAAGAAAGAAAAAAAGGGAGGAAAAAGAAAGAAGGACAAGAGGAAGAGAAAGACAGGCAAAGATCTGGAAAGTAATCAGTTTCTATAAAGGAGAGTCCTTTAAGTTTTAGAGAGCAATTTCAAGGACATAAAGTCCCATGATTACCTGCTGCACTATTACTACTACTTTATTAGAAGTTCCAATGGTATAAAATCTGATGGCAATTATTCAGGAAGCAACCTCACTGAAAATATTCTTTGTTTACAAAAAAGGGTTATATGACTTGACACTCAGTAAAGCAATATTGTAAGATCTAAACTATACAATGTAATACTATATTTTCAAGTCTATGGAAATCCCATAATACAATTACAACACCAACATAATAAACATTCCT